GGCTAGCTGTGCTTGCACACTGGCCTTGCAGCGTGCTATGAAGCATCCACAGAGCTGTGCCCTGTCAGCCCTTACACTCTGAGAAAGACCACATTGCCTTTGAGGCTGCCTGCCACATTGCCACTGAGGCTGCTGCCGGTGGCACGGCCCATTCCCAGCTGTTCCCCATTGCCTACTATGCGCAGCTCCGTGGCTGCACGCTCCGTGCCTTCAAGCTGGCCTCATTGGCCATGAACCATCTTAACCTGGCTCTTAACCAGGATACCCACGCAGCCATCAATGACGTGCTCTAGGTTTGTGCCCTCAGCCACTCTCTGGGCAAGGATGAGCTGGCAGTGCTCATCCCCCTGGTGGTGAAGAGTGTGCACATTGCCGTGATGCTTTCAGACATCCTGTGTGCGACACTGCACGGTGACTGCACCCGAGGCTGCCGCAGCTCTGAAAAGCTCATCTCTACTGACAGAGCTCCATTGTGCCAGTTGCTGATACCACCATGAATGCTTACATCAACACCCACATCAGCCTGACACACATCAGCCATTGCCAGTATGGAGTTCACTGAGTTTCTAAGCAAGGCTTGGGAGACCTTCCTGCTGCCCCAGGATGGCTTCCTGCAATTTGCCCAGTTCATTAGCAACCACAAACAGATCTACAAAGGCAAGGAAAAGCTGATGCAGCTGGTTCGAGAGCCCTTTGGCTGAGAAAGCAGATAGCTCACTGGCCCAGCAGCCTGGGTCCCCAAGTAGTATCAGGTCAGGCCAAAAACACTGAAACATTTGTCCACCCTGAGAGGACTCTGAGCACCTGTGGCTGAGGCCAAAGGACCACAGGGCTAATGATGGGGAGAGTCCAACTCTAATGGATATGCATACCTTGGCAAACTTGTCACTACAGCCCACTGTTCACGGAGAAGCTGGGCCCTGCAGGTCGACCAGAAAGCCCAAGATATGCCACCTTCTGCCCCTGTGTCCTGCATGTCCTGGGCATTGGCGCTGTCTCCCTTAGCAAACACAGAACACTGTTCCATCTCAGAGATTGCTGAACCAGAGAAACAGATGCATTTATGGTACTGTAAATACTATAGTATATGTGTTGCCAATTATTGTAAAATTGTAAATATTTATAATTCTGGTTCTGATTTGATGGGCCCTTGAGGTAGCTGTGGGTGGAGGATATGCTTATTGTCTCAGGAGACTCACAACCATTTCTCAGGTTTCCCTTGCAGAGTGTATGCCCTTCCCAGTGGGATAGTGGGAGTGCCAAGGAGAAAAACAGCCAGTTAGAAAAAATCCCAAGACTAGTCTATGCAGAATCTCTAGCCTGCAGACAAGGCGTTAATAGCCCAGTGGTGGGTGAGTGGCAGAGGCCAGGGCTGGACTTAGACTTTTGCCTCACAAAGCTATGAGGACTCTGAAGCTCCTCCCCTGCCTCACACAGCCTCGCCAGGAGTCTGCTGAGCACCTTTGAAACAAGTGCAGGGAAAAGATGAACGTCTGCAAAGCCACTGAGCTCACAATATTCATCTACACTGGTCACCTTTGTGTTAAAGAGTGTGTGTATCTGTATAACTGAGTGAGTACATGTGTCAATGTGCATAGATAAATCTGCACATGCCTGTCTGTATGTGCACATTATAGGTTTATGTGTATCTATGTCAGTTCTATGGCTGTGTACCTGTGTGGATATGTGCACACTGGACTGTGGGTCTCTGTGTGAGGATGTAACATTTGCGTACATGTGAGGATGCATATCTATGTATAAATGTTCTCATGTTTTGCATGTTTAGTGTGTATCTGGGCACACATGAGCACATGTGTAGAAATATGTGTCTGTGTGTATGCTTGCTCTCCATGCATCTGTGGTTTTATATGTGTAACTGAGCGTATTTCTACATGTAGGAATGACTGCATGAATGTGTCCTTTTTGTGAGATTTCTCTTCCTATTCGTCTTAAATCTCTTTCACCAGCTAAATGTGTGTTCCCCATCTCTGTGCCTCCTCTATTCATTCTCTCCCCAAATGAGCTTCTAAGCACCAGTCTCCCTCTGCCATCAAACTGGCTGCTTTCGCTGCACAGTTCTCTTCTCGTCCCTTACTTGCTTTCTTCCCCTGCCTTTCTACCTCAAGCTTCCTCTGCCTGCTTTTGTCACAGTCTCATTGCTTGATGACTTGAAGGCTAGGGCTGGTCTGCAGTTAGCCTCTCCCTTCCTAATTTCTAGCCCTAGTAGGCAGCCCTGTCATAGCCCTGGCTGACCTCTGCAGTGTATCATCATATTCCTGCTACCTTCCTGACCCCTATGCTCAGCCTGGAATTGTTGTAGGAGATAGCAAGGGCTATCAGAAGAGTCAGTTGGTTACCTTGGTGTGTACTCTTTTATGTCTTAGTTTCTGAGTTGGGGGTGGGGTTTCTTAGGGAAGGAGTTGTATATCTAGAATGCGAACTAGGAACTTCTCCGTCTGCTTTTTCTTTCGTTGACAAACTGTCACTTTTTCTACTACAAACTGACCAAGAAGTTGTATTTGCCGCTTGTGGCTACTCAAGTCCTACTGCCCAGCCAAGCGCCCCTACGTCTCAGCCCAATGGGTTGGTTAAGAGAGAGAGAGAGAGACAGAGAGAGGTCACTCTCATTTTTGTGTCACAATTGCCCTTGTTTTTAGCAGGTGTGTGAACTCACAGTGCTTTTCTATGAATAAATCATGAATCACATGAAAGATCACTTTTCTTAAAGAAAAAAAATTCCCTAATCCCAGAGGGGACCAGCAAATACTTAATAGAAGATTATAGATTTCCTGTGAGTGCATATGGCTTGGGGTGACCTGATTCTGTAAAGCAAATGTTACTGTCCTCAAATTCATGTGTCGAATTCTAATTCTATGTGATGGTATTTGGAAGTGGGCCTTGGCAGGTGAATAAGTTCATGAAGGCAGGGACCTCATGAATGGAATTGGTGCCCCTATCAAAGGGACTGCAGAGAGCTCCCTCATCCCTTCTGTCATGTAAGGACACAGTAAAAAGATGGCTGTCTATGAACAAGGAAGCCAGCCCTCTGTAGACACGGAATCTGCTGACCATTTGACCTTGGATTTTACCATCTCCAGAACTGTGAGAAATCAATTTTCTATGCTACCTAGTCTATGGCATTCTGTTTTGACACTCAGATTAGCTAAAGTGCCAGCATGTCAACTTGCACACATAATTCTTGGAAACTCTGATGCCAAATCCTTGATGGCAAAAGGTGATTGATCTGCCAGAGACATGAGCCTACATCATTCCCTCTTTCCACAGTAAAACAGAGAGTCAAAACAGGCAAGAGTAAGTCAAGGTCTTCTAAAAGCCATACCTGAAAGGTTTCCAATAGCAGTTGACTCGATGGTAATTCAATCACACAAACAACCACAACAAAAGACACAACTACCAAAGATTTTCAGGATCACCTCAAAAACACAATCTAACATTAGGGAGTTCAAAAAGGTGCGAAGTTTCAGAAAAAAAAGTTTATTGATATACCGTTTCATCAACTTGTAATTCTAACACTATTAATAAATGCTAGGGCAGGTAGTGGCACGGAGAGCCTGGGGCACAAGTGCTGTCTTTAAAAGCTTTGCTTGCTGTACCCTTTGGAGCTGCTTCCTGGTACCCTCACTCCCTGCCCGCCTGTTAGGAGCCCGTCCTGGGCAGCCCAACAGGGGCAAACAGCCTGGATGCCCAGTTGCAGACAGACATCCATGCCTGGAGGAGGAGGCCACCTCTGGGTGCAGGAGGAGCTACTGGAACTCTTCTAACCACCCTTCTTTTAATGCCCTCAAGCACCTCCTGCACACAGATGGACCCCAACAGCAGCAGTAGAATAAACAGGCCCTGCAGCAGCAGAACTGCAGCTCTAGTGAATGAGACAAGCCTCTCTCTGGCAGGGTAGAGGAGCCCAGGCTCAAAACCCTGGTCTCCGCCTCCATGTTTGCCACCTGCCCAGGACTAGGGGCAGCATGGGAGCGGCTGGCTGGGGCTGTGTTGGTCACCCGCTCCCTCCGACTTCTCTCTACAGCCACGTTTTCAGTTGCAGGGCTAAGGCCAGTGGCTACAGTAGGTGCCATAACTTCAGGCAGCTCCTCGTTGGACTGGTCCTTGGCTGGAGCTCCCTCCAGCTCCAGCGCTGTCTCTGGAGGGGGCTCTTCCCATGCTGGCTCTGGCTCAACAGCTGGTGCTGGAAGTGCTGGTATTTCTGTATGTGGAACAGGAGCTGAAAAAGGAGAAAGCGTCCCCAGCCGCAGTCACTTTCCACTGGAATTTCCAAACACAGAAACAACCTCACTGAATTTAAAGGAGTTCCAGCCCCTAAACACTGCCCCTACAAAGTCTTCCAGACTGCAGGCCACCTCACCATGTGCCTGTGCCTCCATGGGCTCCCAAATCTCCTCCTGAACAAGGACAATGTGCAGATGCAGGCCCAGTGGGATCTCTGGTGTGGCCTGGCCTGCTAGGGCCTGCCCTGCGCTGCCCTGTAGTACCTGGTCGTGCCTTCTTACAAAGGGCCACAGGCGTCTGGGGTGAGGGATGAGCCTTCTTTGGCATCGTCGGAAAAGGCTCTCACTCCCTCCATTCCTGAAGCAGCAGCCTCTTGAAGTGGGGAAGCAACACGAGAACATATTGTTCTCTTGAGCGTATTCTACCAAGTGAGCTGGTTACGGTGCTGACTCTAGGATATGGGCACCTGGT